TTTTATTCCCCAGCTCACAAAAATACACATGTTCATCTTTAGTGAGCTAAAATGACACAGGCTTCGCTATGACTCAGACATGCACACTGTCACTATATAAATGAAACTTGTTACTTAAAGAGGAAGGTATGTGACATCTCAAGCCCATGAGGATATTATGGAACAGAGGATTTTTGGTGTATATTATAGCGAAATTCATTTACTACAGCCAATTTGGTTCTTTTGCCCTGAAACTGTAGTTGAAACATCTTTATGTTAGTGTATCCTACTATATCCCTCGTCCACCACTGATGCAAGTCTGGTGTGATAATCTCTCTGGCCCATGAAGTGCTGGTGTGGGGATCTAGGGCCTCATTACGAGATTCAGCCTCAGGAGGAGCAGTCGTGGGCCTTAGCTGAGTGTAGAGGCAGTGCTGAGTTTGTTCTCTGATCCGTTTGATTCTCTTGTAGTAGCCAGTGTCCTATAGCATATGTGCATGCCCTTTACCTTTGAGTTTAACTAATTTAAAGTCCTCAAATAACACTTTTTTTTTAAAGGACACTAGCTTTTCAATGCCCTCAAATATTTTTCAAGTGGTAAGACTAACAGGAAATATCTTGTTGCTAGACTTCTTTGGGAGGCAGGAGCCAGGATGGGCAAACCCAGAAACTGATGATTGAGTTTTAAGAAAGGAATTTATTGCTTTGAATACACTTAAGAAATAACTGGATATTCATTTCTGGGTCCTCATCTGTGAAATGGAAGTCTGTTTAGACAAGGGAATGATTAAAGGATTATTAAGTAAGGTGTGTCTCCAACAGATCTGGGTTGTGGAGTCTTAAGGTGCTTCTTTGAGGAGCACCAGGGGAGGCAGTTTTGCCAACAGGAAAACTGGGGAGAAAGTGTCCCCATTTTTCTGCTCAATTTTCTGCCAGGCCCTCCAGCCGACCCCTGCCTCCTTTACACCCAACTTTCCACCAGACCCTGCACAGAGCAAGTATCCAATCCCTAAGACCTGAACAGCCTCAGCACTTGCTAATCACCGGGTAGCATTTCCTGTTTGCACATGCACGCTACCACCCAGGGAGCACTGACCTTGGGCAGAGGCAACCAAAGCCTCAGAAAAGGGCACATTGGACAGGATTCGAAGTATTTTTGTAAATTGAAAAAGAACATGTCTGTAAGACTATAATCTGTGTTTTCTATTTCAGAGTTCACTGACTCATGACTTACAGAGCTGCGTACTAGACAATAGCCTTCACAAGTCACCCCTATATCCATAGTATGGCTGAGAAACACCTGCCCAGCAGGAACTCAGCAGGAGTGTGACAGTAGGGTGGAGAGAAGTTGCTCATCTCTTACTCCTCATTCCAGGGCGCCCCATCCTGACAATACCAGCTCTGGTTTTAGGTCAAACCATCAGTTCAATGCTTTCTTTTTGGTGGAATCACAGGACTATTGCATTAAAACACCCTAATGACATCAATCCTCTTACACAGATGTAAATCAATGGAGGCCAGGGCCTATAGAGGCACGGAAAAGAGATTTCTTTGGTTCAACTCTTAGGTAGCCTTGCTAATGTTGCTCTGCCCTCCACTTTTATAAATCAAATTTATAAGTAGATTGGAGTATATCAGAATCACAAAGACAAAGCAACAAAGTCTATGTATCTTTTGATATGGAAATTAAGCTAAAAACAGTGATATGATCAGGAAATGAATGAGCTAATCTAGAGTCCACTAACTTGTTTTGAGAATAAAATAGACAGGTGAGAGGAGGAATTTATAATTTCTGTTCGCAGGTGTTAAAAGTTATAAGAAGGTAGGCAGATAATGGAGGTGTTTAATGTTTTCTGCCTTATGCTGAAAATAGTAATGAAAAATACCATCATTTGACGAGGTAGATGCCAGACTTTGCAGAGCATGCTGATATCTGTGTCCCTTAATACTTGTTCTACAGATAAGGGGACCACACCGGACTCAGATATTAATATTGTGCAAGTGCATGGAGTTAATGAGTGGCAGAGCTCAGTTCCAGCCCATGTCTGCCTCTCCACTCCACCAAGCTGCTTCTCAAGATAGGGCAGAAGTCAAGTGTAGGAGGGGTGTCACATTTTAGCCCTTCCCTTGAGGCTTATAGTGACTCTAAGGAATAGCTTTTTCTTTCAGGTACCATACTCTGTTGAGAAGTAATAACTTGGTTACTGCAGATACTTCAGTGGATGCTGTTTTTTGGAAGGCAATCACAAAGAGGCAGAAATTAGGCAAAAAAAAAACAAAACAAAACAACAAAAAACAAACAAACAAACAAAAAAAACACCTGAAATTTCCATAACTTAGTATCGGTTTCAAATTTGTTTCATCCTTATTTAAAAGCACAGGGAATTCTTTCTAGTGGCTGATCCAAGGCACTGTGACTAAGTAGGGAAATGAAAATAGAGGAACGGGGTGGCATTTAATGTATATGATTTGTGGAAGTTACATCATTTCTACCAGCACTAGAGAAACAAGCCAAGGAGTGGGAGGCTGAGATGACACAAACAGAACTCAGCTATTACTGGACAGTCTGGAACACAAAGTACAAGTAAGAGAATGGCACGTATCAACTTGAGAAAGGACTCCTCTAAGCAGCTCAGAGGATTCCGCCTAGTATGAGGAGACTTGACAATACTGTACTGGTAAGTGGACTTCATTCAACAAACCACTGACCAGAAAGTCTATAATGGATGGAGCTCCTCCTTCTCTTTTAAACTGTGCTTATCGGCATTTTAAGAAAGAACATAAGCAAAAGGTATATATACTAGTCTTACTTTGCATAGGGAAACAGGAAGGATAAGATTAAGTTTGAAGGATAAAAGAACACCTTATCCTAACTAGCTGCAGTTAAGAAGAGAAGAATAAATACTAAGTGATATCTCAGTTCAGGAATTTAATTCGTTCCTCAATTCTGGAGAAGATGGCCACAGTTGTATTGGTCACTTGCTGGGGAGTTCTCAAGCTGGAGCAGAATTTTGCATACTGCTTCTGTTGGCCAACTGAATTGTTGGCTGGTAGAAGTGTTCGTGCATTAAGTGTTCTCCATAAGGTAATGAAATCTAAATAAAAACTCAGTTTTTCTTTCTCAACAGGGGAAGAGGATATAAAAAGAATTAAAATGTGTTATATTTGCCAACTCCACATGATGAATGTAATCAATATGTTCTAAGAACATATAATAAAAATAAAAGTAAAATATATATTAAAGAATTAAATTACAGAAGAGGAACAACACATTATTCTTTCCTGAGGCTTTGAGTATTCTGAGGTTTAGTGCTTATTAATCAGTAAGATGATAATTAAGCTTAATTATCTCTCCTTTGCCTTTTAGTCACAATAGATAGAGAATATGTAAGAATTAACTACATCAATTAGAAGAAAAAATTCTTTTCAAAATCTCTCCCCCTTACATTGCCTCTTTGCACTAAACTTATCTATTCTCTGCACAAGTCTTGAATGTGAGTCAAAATATATAAAAGAAAATTTTAATTTCATCTAAGTAGAAATTCTGATGAAGCAGTATCCTGGCATTCATTTAACTCAGCAATACGTGTCCATACATAAGCAGTATTCATCATGTCTTGCTTTTCTACGTCACCAGAAGACTTTCCACATCTTGTCTTCATGCAGCACAGATGATGTACAGGTAGTAAGTGATAAACAACCAAAAGCAATTGTAGCCTTGATCTTGACAGGAAATGCTTCTGAAGTAGAGCAAATATATCACTCTAGTCTATTCTAAAGGAGAAAATACTTGATAATAATGCTAGCAACTTGCATTGTCTTAAAGTTTATACCAAAGGGATTATATAAAAGCAGGGCATAAGCCTCTTAAACAGATTTTTCTGAACATGAAGAAATTCTTTTCCAGTTTAGAACAATACAGACAATTTGTTCTTAAAGCTTCCAAGCGACAATTTTTGACGCCTGACCCGTGCCACTACAGATGAGATCTTCCTGCAGAATGTGGAAACGATGCCATATGAAAGAATTCATGTTCCATTCATTTTAATATGATCTTTCCAAGTCCATTGGAGTCCTAATCAATTTGCAAATAGGTGGTTTTGTAATAAGTATCTTGTTCCCTTTCACACAGATAAACACAACCACCCATGAAACAAGTGTGAAAAAGTTGTGAAATTTACCAAATGCCATTTACTTATTAAAATGTTAGCACAGACCACGAGGGGACCATGTACTAGGTAATATGTTATGCACATATATCCTTATTATACTGAGATATGCAAACATACATAAATGCATAAATATATGTACACCCCAAGTAGCATTCAGCCTGAGCTCTTCACCATAAGTGAATACATAGAAAGTTATAAAATTACTTGTTTAGATGTAAAATTCTGCTGCCTGTATTGACAGAGTGAGGTACCCCATACTTTCATCTTGTAAATTTGCTGGTAAACTAGGAGTAAAATAATTACTGAAAGCAGCTGTGTCTATTGTTTGTATAAATTCTGATAAACCTGTTTTTCCACATCACTTGGAGACAAGCGGAATGAAAACAGTGATCAGTATAAATTAAAAAGGACTAGTAAGGACTGGGGAGACAGCTCAGCAGTCTAAATGCATGCTTGGCAAGTGCAAGGACCCAGGGTTTGAGCCCTGGGTGTGCTGTGCTGACCACTGAAACCAGGTGTGGTAGTATATTTCTGTAATCCTAGAGCTGGGGAGGCTGAGACAGGAAGATCACTACAAGTCTGAGCTGCATAGTGAGACCCTGAATCAATTAATTAATTAATTAATTAATTAAAAGAAAAGAATGGCATGGGGGTTGTTCAAGTGACTGGAAAGATAATAAATCAGAATGAGAGCAAAATCTCCCCGGAAAGGATATGAAAGAAAGTCTTCCTTTCAAGCTAGCTCAAGTTTTGCAAATCAAAATAATCAGCATGGCTCAGATGGCAGTCATTTTGCCTTGAAAAGAATGTGAGAAGTGAAAGTTTAGAAATGTCAAGTGACCAAACAAGTATGTGCAGAAATTAACTTTTTTTATTATATATCATATAATGTAGTAGTAAAGTTTGTTTGAAGTGCATGAATAAAAAGTTAGTGAAATTACAGGAGGAACAATCTATATAGCAATAATAGGTGCATTCCCTGTGCATCTGAAAGAAAAAAAAAAAAGAGTTTTCACTCATTTTGGCCTAAAACTTAGTGTTCAGGTTCCCAGGATTCTGACATCAGAACCCGGATAACGCTGATTAGAACCATAGGGGCTTTACAATAAAAGCTAAAATATTGACCATATGATGGCAAAAAGTCTTATTTTGTGGTTAACTTATTCTCTTCTAGCTACTCTCTGATGAAGTTGGTGGCGCTGTAGAGGAGGACCGCCGCCTCCTGGATGAGGACCGGGACCGCTCAGCATTGTAGGTGACATGCTTGTCATAGTTGTCCATCTGAGCCTCGATGAAATCTCTCTGCTGCTGTCGGATGGTCTGGCTGAGGAGCCCAGGGAGGGCATGGATGCTACCAATCAAAGTCTCTAATTTTGTTTCTAGGGTAACAATCCTCTTCTCAAAGTCTTCACTCCTTTCATTTAAGTCAGAAATCATGTCATACATGATGTTCTGGGTCTGGAAAACAATTAACAAAATAGGATTTGACAAAACAGGATTGACAGGTGGGCCAGGAAGACATTAACCTTATTTCTACTATATACCCTTTAGAATATGTGACCAACATCCCCTCATTCAAAATTGCCAAGCCTGAGAGCAGTTCAGGCCTGCGGTCATATTAAGCATGACACTAAAGAATAACTGGAAACAGTATCTGGCCTCCCTTATGGACTCCTGAAGTAAAATCACTTTTCTAAATTATAGTTCTAAGTGGTCTGTTTTACCTTTTTACAAAAAATACTCAATTTCTTTGCTCATTTAACTCAGAAATGAGGAGCCTACTCTAAGTGAGAGGTTATCTTTGTACTTCATACACATGTGCTCTCAGGTGATGCACTAAATACTTATTGCCAACATGATTATATAGTATATTCAGAGATACACATAAAGATGGATATAATGTAGATGTTTCAGCCGATACTAGGTCCAAAGCATAATTTTCAGAGATTAAAGTTGAGGCTACAGTAAGGAGCATAGATAATTTGTCAAACAAACAGGTTAAACAGATGCAACTGAGAACTCCCTCTTTCAAAACATTTGTTTTAAAAGGCTGCACATTTACCTACATGCTATTTTAGAATTGGCTCAATAGGATGCAATACTTTGACTATTGATTAAATATTTCTGTGTTGAAAATGGATTTTACTTGGGGAGGTACAACCAAAAATCAGATGAATCTTATGCATATGTCAGGAGAACTAGAAGATGATTAATGTACTTTTCAAAACATGGTATGACTGTTAAATAACAAAAATGAAAACCACAAAAAGTTTAATTTTGGGGAAAGGAACAAGCTTTATTTTAAGATCCAATTTCTGGGGTCTTTTAAGAAATTTCAGTCATACGTTCTTCTGATTTTGCCTGAAATATGTAAAAAATGTGGTAAGTTTTATTTAGGCTGGAACTTTGCAGTCAGATCAGAGCTCCACTTTTGTTCTCAGGAATGAGACTTCAGAATCCCAAAGCTATTGTCTCAATTCACGTACGTTTTTGTGGCAATTTCAATTCACTGAAATCAGGGAAGCCCTGAGAATAGGATGAGGATTGAATAATGTATATAAGCAAGAGTATTTTACGAAGAGCTTTTCAAAGACTTAAGAAAGAACATCAATTTTAGTGTGTTCTCTTTGGCTTGATAATTAACTTAGTTTAGGACAGGCTCCTCCCACAGAATGAGCAGCAGCAACCCTACCAGACCCGTCCTCAAGTGCTGAGCATCTCCAACTCACCTTTGCCAGATCCACCAAGGTATTTGCTTGGTCATTCAGTTTCCTCTGCTCCATTTTTACACTTCGTAATCTAAAAGACAGAGTCTGAAGTCAAGAACGTTCTCTTCTTTCTTTGGCTACCTTATGCCTTCCAAAAAGCATGCACAAAATTAACAAGGGCAAATAACTGCATGGATAATGCCTTGAATATCACGGGTAAATTCCATACTAGTTATGTGTCTGCTACAATGAGAAGCATGCTTCCCCAACACCGCAGAAAGGAAAGGGGAGACAGCAAGAGATGAGATGTCCTTAGGACAACTGTTCACGAGGTCAGTTGGATTCAAAAAGGCTCATACGGACTTCACCATATGAGCAAAGCCAAAACATTCCTTTAAAGCTCCAGTATCATGACAAATAGACATAGGAAGAAATATGCAAAGCAATAGGAATTTCATCAATGTTGGAGCAATGAGCACCTTCCTATGCCTACGTGACTAGATACAGGTATTAACCCTGTTTAGTCTGAAATGAATTGGGTTAGGTATTTGAACCTGATGAAAACACAGTGATAAGTGAGATTCTTGTTAACAAAAGCAAAACTTTTATTCAACCAGCAGCAAGGTTACTCAAAACATATAATTCTCTTATTCTTCATAGTATTTCACTTGACTTTCATATTGTTATTGAATTTGAAGGGGAGCCGGTCTATTTCTTTGGGAGAATCTCTCAATTTTTATTGCAGTTAAAAGTCGGAAAACAACTAAAATATTTGATGGATAGACTGTCTATATGTGACGTTACTTTTAGCTTCTTTAAATATCATTGTATATACCTGACTGACCACCAACAAGCTAATGTTTAAAATACCAGTCTTTCCAAATAAGAGCTTTCACTGTTCCTTAACTGATTTCATTATCCCAATAAATATTTATTATTCAGTGCTTGCTATGTTTGAGACCTTAAGATTTTTTTTCCAGGAAGAAAAGTGATTTATCATTCTTTAAGCCAAAATTTAAACCTTGCTTCAAAAGAGAAATCAGTTCTTCTAAACTACTTAATGAAAAAAAGGAGAAAAAAAATCCTTGCTAACCTTATTTTTTGCCCTGATCAATCACTCTATAAAGTTTTGTTGTGATTATGGAGAGACTATCTTATTGTTTTCCAATTTAAATTATAGTAATTATATGCAAAAAAATAAAAACTCGCTGGGCAAGATTTTACTGCCAGGGAGAATTCTGTAACAGATGTTCCTGTTGCTCAGTGATCATTCTGCAACTAGGATTCCAATATGTCATCCAGTCTGCTCTACAGCGAAGATGCTTTTCTTCTGTCAGTATGAGTTTAACTGACACCTACCTACAACACGATCTTTAACAATCTAAAACAATTTCAACTTATAACTCCTTGTGACTATGTTGTTATTAGAACACTTGGAACAAAGTTAACCACTGCAATATTTATGCTATAATAGAGATAAATTTGTAAAAGAAATTCACAAACATATACTTAAGTCTGTCCTATTGTTGAGAAGTGTTTCTCCTGACATGGACTAGAGTTTCAATGCTCGAGGTCTACTTTTTAAAAGCAAGCAAAAAAAAAAAAAAAAAAAAAAAAAAAAAAAAAAACCAAACGTCTATGGTTATGACAGAGAAGTATATTAGAAAAAGTGGTCATCAGATAGAGGCTTCATTTTCATTGGTTCTCATTTGTATCAAAGTTTCTACAGGTATGAAGTGAAATATCTTTTGGGAGTTCTGGATCTGTACTAACAGAGATATGTTAGTTGACTTTAAGTGACACTCAGGTAAGATATTAAATAATTCTCAGAGAGACAGTTATTCTCTGATTTCTCTTCTAAGTCTTGATTTTTGGAAAAATGTCTCAGACTGGTCCTATCCTCCCTCTGTCTTCTGATACATACTATTTTGCCTTTATAAAAAGAGTAGAGGGAAAGATCTCAGCTCAAAGCTTTCTATAAGCTATAGCATTCTAGCTGTGGCTAGAATTCAAGTATTTCAACTGCCAAATATAATACCTTCATTTTTACTTTTCTTTGATATGAATGATATCTGTTATTTTTAAAATGGGATTTTTTTTTGTGTGTAGCTAGTGCTAAGGGATTGAAACCAGGTCTCACATACTTGTAGGCAGTCGCTGAGTTATAAATCCAGCCTTCTGATAGAAATTCATATCAATTTTTTAAAGAAAAATGTAGGCAGCAAGAGCATGACTGGAGTTTGGGATGCTGCAGTGATGCCTCCAAACGTCTGCGAGTACAGAGGAAATCCTGAGCTCCGCAGAGCAGGTAGCTGGTGGACGGCGACTCTGCGTGAAGTGGAGGCTGCATCTTAAAACAACAGGGCCTGCTTCACTTTCCTGGGATTACTAACTTAAGTAGAATTCTGCCCATTTTAGTTTTTACTAATGTGGAAAGCTGACATGGAACACTCCTATTTGACTAGAATTCCCTGTACTTCAAATCATCCTATCCTGTCTGCTTCTTATACAGCCTCTCATGTAGGCGATCACACAGAAACAGTCTGCTTCAGTTGCAGCTGCCAGAATAAAAGGTAACGTGCAGGTGTGTAATACACTTTTTTTTTTGGCCCCATAAAAAGAATAAGAAACATGTTGATTTCTTCCTTGTGAACTTCACTTATCACAGGAAAATATCATGATTTTGGATCACATTTCCATAGCAGCAGACTACTAAAATTCACAAATAAAGGATCCGCTGGGTACATGCAGCCAGTAGAAAATTCTGCAAATGTTGAAAGGAGCGGCTCACGCAACTTACTTCCGAGCTCTATTTTCATTTTGTTGAAATAAAAAGACAAAACAAAAGAAAAGAAACTGTAAAATACTCTGGAACAGAATAATAGAATGTGGTGTTCAGTTGTGCACAGGGGGCTCGATTCATTAGCTGGAAGATCCTGTTAGGGTTCTGCAGGATTTTGATATATTGGCCAAAGAGAAACAGTATTTAAATTCTCCACCATCTTTCTTCATTGCTACTATGCTCTGCCCACCTGAAAGCACTTGGCTTCCTCTTGTTACTAGAGTTTAGAAAGAAGAACATTCAAGTAAGCAATAGGAAACATTTTTGCCTAGTGTATGGTTCAAAGGACAATGTTCTAAATAATAGTATCATAAAGGTGTTTTTGGGGGTGATACATATTTTCCAATTGGAGCTTATTAAGGAGTCCTCTGTCATACAAGTCAGGTACAGTGGATTCCTTGGCTCTGACAAGTTCATGTTGATTGATGAGTACACAGTTGAGACAGAAAAATGATAAACTTAAAGTTAAAGCCACTATCAGGAAAAGGTTTGAATGTTAGAGAGAGAGAGAGAGATCACTTCAGGGTACTACATGATAATTCAAAAAGATAGACCCGTGATTGCAAAGAGGACATTAGGTCATAATCCACCAGAGCCTAGGAAGGTCATGTCCCGGGTAGAAGGCCAGTTTGGAAGAGAGAAAGCATTCAGCAAGAAAGCAGCTGGCTGAAGGGCAGAGAGCTGCTGAAAAACCTCTTAGGACAGGTTAGAGACTAGGAGAGGTCAGGAGAGCTCAGTCAAATGATTATAATTTTTTTTTCAACTACTTAGTCTGATTCCACCTAGTGCTGACAGATGAGGCTGAATTCTCACTGGCTCTGAAAGAGTGGGCGGGGAAGGGCTTGGCCTGAGGAATCGAGCCCTGTGTGCTTTCCTCTGACTTCACTCCCCAACTTCAAACATTGAATTAAAATCAAAGGTATTATGCATGATTTGAATATCTATCCAAACCCGGCCCAAAATGAACTTACTCAGCTTACTCAGTCATACTTTTGCACAAAGTATGCATGTTCCCCGGCATCATGGGGAGCCTAGTAACCACCAGACTAATTTACAAATCAATTCAGAGCATATTAGAGTTGCTTGAAGCTCATCTACCTTAGATGTGCACACTGCTAAGAAGAAACAGAAGGAGAAATGTCTGACAGCAGCAGCAGCAGAACCACAGAGCGCGTCCTCTGTCCACAGGTGAACTGCCAAAGAGCTCTGCACAGGTGCCTCCAGGCACCACCCTAAAGATCACATCAGTGTGCCTTGCGGGACAGCTTCCTTCAGGCCAGATCTTAAAATTGGCTTCCCTGAAGACTTTTTTCCTAATATTTTATGGTAAGCATTTTTCAGATTTACACAGTACAATTGAAAGACTTTTCTATTGAATACTAAAAAACATCTTCCCTCTAGCTTTTTTTCTGAATGTGAACATACAACTTGCAGCTTATGGTGAGATAATAAAAACACATGATTTATACATGGATACTGAGCTATATTGCAAATACTGTGACAGCATGTTTTGAGATTTGTTGCTATTTGAAAATGTATCAAATATATTAAAGGCAAATTACATATACATTTATAGGTTATACTGACAGAAAACAAAATCCTAGAGGAAAGGGGACGTGTTGTTGCTGCATACAGAGCAACTACATGTGCTCACAAACTTCCCCCTGGGACACACACATCTTCTCTTACTCAAGGTGTTCTTTTTAATATACTCAAAATAGGTTGGTATCAAAGTATCAAAAATACAAAGAAACAATTTCTCCCTGGCATGCCATGAGTACCTCTGTATCAACATTAGGGTTATATTAACTGAATGTTCAAAGACTATGGTTTTAGGACAGTGTTGCCAGGGGACTTCCATGGGGAAAAAGCCTGCCCCTCAGTAAGGACAGGACTCAGGTACATAGAGGAACACACAGCATCTCTTTGGGGTCTCATTCTCTCAAGTCTAATTTCCAGAATCTAGGTATCTCGTCAAGAGTTCTAGGGGGTGGTCCTGGGTTAGAAAGTCGCTGAACTCCAGATCAAACACACTGCTTTTTTTCTCTGACTTTAGAAGAGTATTATCTCAAAATTCTCACAATGTCTTTTCCTTACAAGGAAGGGATTTGCTTCCTCACAAGGCATAATTGTGTGTGTTGATTCAAGTCACAGAGCTGAAGGAGAGCTCAGGAACCTGTGTTGGTGGCAGCGAGGGAGCTGTGTGCAATTAGCTGTGAGCAGTTATGAGAACCTGATAGTCTGCCACATGCACATACTCTCTTTTGACTTTAAATCTCAAAATACTTGCTCTATTTTCATTCTGCAGGTAGCAATTTCTACAAAAAATGCACATAACTATAGGTACATTCTTCTTTCTAGGGATACCAATTTAAGCAGGGCAACTAGATGGACAGGTGAAATGGTAGAGTTTGATAAAAGGCTAGTGATTTTTCATAGGATGCTAGTGATATAATCTTGCATGTGAATTATTCAAGGATCAAAGTAAAAATTACAGCTTCACAGTTCTCTTGTCTGTTGTGCTAGCTGACGCCGGGAAGGCAAGTATCATTCATGGCCAAAAAGACTTAGTATTTACCCACCTTTCCATCATTACTGTTAGGTTCATGAGGAGAGCCACTTTCTCTGAGCCCAAGTGTACTCTTCCCCATACAGAAGTGACATTAAGTTAAAGCAACTCTGCGTGATATCACAGTTAATACCCACTTGAATAATACTTACTGTGAAAATGCTGCCAACCGGGAGGAAAAAGACCCTGTGTTTCCAAGTTATTGACTCTTACGAGGTAAGAGATTTTTGCCTTAAACAATCTATTACAATTACATTAAGAAAGAGATGGCATGAAGAACTTAAATGAATTGAATAATGGTGATCTGGAGAAAGTCAAAATAATAATAAGAGTAGAAGGACTATAGGAACCGTAAACTCTATAATGAGCATGAGCAGAGAGACAACCCCAAAGTTTGTAATTAAGAACTCACTGAATATTGTTAAGACAATTATATACTCTATAGTCATTTAAAGAAGTTAAACGGTCTAGTAAAAAATTCAGATGCATACAGGAAGCTAATTTTTCTCAATGTTTTGAAGTACAAAAGCTAAAAGCAAGCTGAATGTCCTAGAGCAGACTATATAAATATATTAAGAAAAACAATTTTTATAAAGTATTGACTCTACAGACAGAAACTGAGGAGACACTTTGATTAATAAATGAATATTCCATTAAATGAGTTTTAATCATAAAAACTATAATTTTTTTCCTCAGAATTTTAATGATGGAGCTATTAAACTGCCAGAGAACATCTTCTGGTAACAATGTTTTCTCTTTTGCTCTCTCATGAAAGAACAACTACCAATGCAAGAGTCAGAAAGGTTAAAAAAAAAACAGGATACAAATGAAAGCTGGTACTTACTGATGAATAGCTTGCAAGAATTTTCGCTGATGTTTTCGTACTTTTGCATGGTCTATCTTTTTTACTAGCTTTGTATTTTTGTAAATTAGCCATGTTTCCCTGAGTACATTGGCAGCTGCATTTTTCACCTGTTTAGGAAACAAGCAAACAGAAATAAATTTGATCAACTTCAGAGCAAACTTCTTCACAACTTTGTTGGAGATAATATTCTTCATCCCTAGGATTATGGAAAACTGGAGCTCTAATGAGTAAAGGCATGTTTTTCTTGAACGTGAACCATTTTTAGAAGTAGATGTCCAGGAACATTTGTACTGAAGTAATAGGGAGATACTAGTACCACTGATTTTTTTAAAAATAATTTCATTGAGAAATAGCAATGAGACAGTTTCAAAACTGATCACTAGCACAATTTCAGTAATTAATATTTTGCATATTGTTGTCTTAGTGGTTATTCATTGTATAAGATGCAGACATGATATCCTGTCCACAAACATTATTAGAACAAATCTCTCTATGCATTGAATTAAGAGAACACAGCTGTATATCTATCCTATTTTGAATATACAGATACAAAATGCTCATTCATTTGTATCCCCTTTTTTTAGTTTTGTCAGAGATGTGTATTCCATTGTCATTTAAATATTGTAAGTGTGTGAGTTCAGCATAATATTCCAATATAGTCCAGTAGTCCATAATAGTAGTGAGTTATCCATAGGACTGGCAATGTCAGAAGTTGTTTACTTGAGTCTTTTGCAGCTCAGCATATTAATATGGCTTTACTTTTTATATTTCATTTTTATAGTTTTCTATTGGATGGTTAAGACCAAGATAAAGCACTGATTTTATTCTGTACTAAATTCAACTACTTTCTATGTCTGTCTTTCTTCCTTCCACCTCTCCTCTCCTCCCCTCTCTCCTCCCCTCCCCTCCCGTCTCCCCTCCCTTTTCCTCCCTTCTCCCTCCTCTCCATCTCTTCTTGTCTCCTCTCCATGTTCTGCTATTTCAGACTTGCACTGCAACTGTTCTCTCCATATTCCTCATTTCTCTGGAGAAGGCCAAGGGCACTCTTGGCCTTTGGAAGTTTGCTAGGTATTTCTGGCTGTGCACTATGTAAGGGCACGTTTCCACTGCTGAATGGCTCAATACATTCAGTGCTTAGAGCCTCCCACAATGACTTAGCAGTTTGTATGCTTGTTTACACAGTTTAATTAGCTGACAAAGATTCTATATTACTCAGATTTTGTAGGAAAATTAAATATACTCCAATGCAAATTGATGGATAAATGTAAAGGACGATAGCATTATAGAAACACTATGGAGACCTCTGGCACCTGATGGAAGACTTGACTGTATTAGGAAATCATTTCCTTTCTTGAATAAGCTGATAGAATCCTTGTCAAGAATAGATTTTATCTTTTTCTTGCTCACATGCAGGGACCAGTGACCCAGAGCTTTTTACCTGGGCTTACTACTCACTACCTATTTTACAAACTTCATCTACTTAATTGCTTTGAATAATAAAGGATATTTCAAAGAGAGCTATAGGCTAGTAGAACACTAAAGGGAGAAAAATAAACTTCTAGAATAGGCAGTGAAGTTGAGAAGACTGAAATATGAGCTGAGATTTATAAAAGCATTCTGATTTCTTGACTTTGTACTAACCAATTTAGTTTGAAGTGACTAGCTAATCTCTTAGGACTTTCGTTTAACATAAGAAAATTTGAAACAATGATTACTAAAGTCTTCTTATTCCTTGAATTTAAATAAGAGTCTCAAAATTATACTAAAACTATGAGGCCAAATTTGTGTTTATACTTTTTTCCCCCACTTTTTCAAAGAAAACTTTAGGTTTGGTGACTAATGGTCCTGAAACATTCTTTTGAGTGAGACTATCACTACAATCTATTTTAAGAAAATAATTGGTTTCCTGTGAGTCAAACTGCTTTTAGGAGTCACTAGTTCATAATGCACTTCCTCTGGATGTCTATTAGACTGTGCATGGAACCCTTCCTCTAACCAGTGGGAAAGTGATAGAAACAGAGGCTAACCACCAGTGGTGCATGAAAGTAACACCATCACCCTCCACTGTGAAGCTGAAGAGACTCTTCATAACTTCTTGGCTTCATATTTACACTATGGAAACACCTTCCTCAAACAGCAGCGAAGAAGACCTCCACCTCCTCTCATCCTTTCACAGTAAAGGAATGGGTGGGGGTAGTGCACATCCCTAAGTTTTCAAGACCCTTACTTCACAGGAGGAATGGAAAAAACTAGCCATCAGTCCTTGGGGTGGGGAGGTCCCTTCCTTGCTAAGAATCAGAAACTTGTAACTCCGCAGAAGTCTAGAGGACTACCAAGGAGCTCTGATGGATACCCTCTGCCTAATTTTATATCTCCGAGGTACAGAGAAGGAAGCTAGACCCAATGCTGGCCAAGAAGCTGGAGAAAGAAGAAAAAATCTTGGGTAAGAACGAATGAAACAGACCTACAGAAAAGTGAACAGGACTTGATTTTGGATGGATTCCTATCTAAATATCAAATCCCAAATCACTTCTAAAGCCTATAAACTTTGAAAAAGGTGATTCTGCTCTTCTTTGATGCATTTTAAATGGCTGTTTCTTTCTCTTGTGATGGTGGAGAATGGGGAACAGGGAACCTCAATCGGAGTCAGTGGTGCGTGTGATGCCCTTGAGGCCTAGGATTGTAGGATTTTTATTCACTAAGTACCCAGTGCAGCTGGCAGGCTTAAATTAATTAACTATCTAAAAATGAAATCCCTATAGTTCCTTTAAAAAAAACTTAAATTTGTGAATTTATTTTAAATATTTATTTTCTAACTCTCTAAACACAGGGATAAAGCCTTTAAAGCATCACATTTAATGTCTACTTTTCAACAAGCAAGCCACAAAATAGTATGTGCCAGAACTGAAAGCAAAACAAAACATCTGCCTGTTACTCAGATATTTTACTAGTGGTAGATCAGCTTGTTCATCTTAGGTTGAAACGAACAAGTCAGAGAGACAGTAAAACGGCAGGGTCCAGAGTGTCTTTGTGTCTTTCAGGTTTGTGCAATGGGTAAGTGTACACGAAAATGATAAGAAAACTTCCAGGAACAATTGGGAGAAAATCAGACCTGTATGTTCTTCATCTTTTAGATGACAGGGAATTTGAATTGAGGGGAAAGTTTCCTTCATTTCCTCAGGTAACAATTTAATTGTGTAACCAGAGGACTGCTCACTCGGCTTCCCTGGACAAGATCATGTCACTAATCATTGTGCTTTCCTACTACCGAGCTGATATTAGATAAATAACTGTCATGTTAATTGGGTACTATAACATGTAAAATTCATACATAGGAATCTGTAATCTTGGAATCCATATCAGCCAAAGGACACTTATCACATGAACATGCAGACTGAAAGAAAAGACCTGGGCCCTAAATGGATCAGAACATTTCATGTGTGAATTCAACCTATGTATTGCATCTCGATCACTTGCTAGAAATGGTGATGATTGCTATGAAGGAATTTCTAGATACACCTGAAAAAGAGCACACCGCCGGTGTGCTCTGCATTCCACGTCTTAGCCAAGAGGAAACAATAACGTTAGAGAAAATGAATGAAGTCAAATCTCTCTGAAATACAACTGATTTCCTTTTCTTCAAAAATAAAAGGATTGGGAAGCTAGCTCCATAGAATGCTGGCCTGAACAAAACACTAAGTTCAATGCCCAATATTGAAAAACATAAATAAATAAGGAGAGTGACAGGTAATATCTTTGAGACGTTTGATTAAAGACACTCATCTTTCCTTCTGACTGTCTTGTACTTCACCCCAACATACACCAAACAAAAGGAAAAGAATGCCATTCCCAGCGTTCAACTCTTATAAAAATCTGCTAGACAGTTTTTGAAAGGCATATTAATAATCAGGTATTTAGGATGACAACTAAAGGGCACACAACAACTCAAGTTATCTGCAAAAGTACTTACCCAGATGCTGAAATAAGGCTCATAGGAGCAAAGACCATGATATGTTGCATTCCTGTCTCATAGGTAATTATAAGAGAATACAACTATAACTGGTAAAATAACAATATTTTTAGGGATAACAGGAGCTTATGAACCACCAGAAAACTTAAAGCAGACTATTGGTTGAAACTGTTTTGTACAAACTTCTATGATGCAGGTAATGGCAGCATTGTTCAAAAGACTTTTTTATTAAAAATTTCCCTTTATTAAAAACTTTTCTTTCTCCTCTCTCCTCAGAGGTTTCCCCATAACAGTCACTCTTAGCTAATTCAAGAGAAGCATGACAGGACACCATCTACGCTTGCTGCTGGAAGGCTGTGGATGTGCTCTGTTCCATCTCTTCTCCATCCAAACAGGTACCTGGGGGATGTTGTGATTGTGGAATGGGCAAAGGCAAGTAATGTTTTCCTTTTGTGTTGGTTCTCATTGGGCCATGTGGTCAAAGATGGTACAAAGTACTTCGAGTAAATGGTCTAGGATTTGGGGGGTCAGAGAGGGGTCAGAGGAAGAAAGAATTAAGATGTGTTGTGCACCTAAGCCAGCTCCCCATGAGGAATGTAATCATCATGAATTACAAATATGTACTCATAAAAATAAAAATAAAATAAAAATTATTTAAAAACAGGAAGCACAAGAGGCCTGCAGAAATAAGATGGCATAGTCATACAGTAATATTCTTATTATGGATCTTCTTGCTAAACTTAACAGACTGAAAACATGCTCAGTGGGCATTAATATGCACAATTATCCTGCCTGGTACATTTATCTAGCAATTTTAAAGATTGTGTCAGGGTGCTCAGAACTGTTTATTTTCAAGCTTTTTTCCACCATGGAGGTATTCTGAAAGAAACTAATTGGTTCAGACAAGGAAAACAGTACAAATTTTCAAAAGACATAGAATGGTAAACACATTGGCTCTATAAGATGATAAACTGCAAATGTACCATACAGCTGGTCCTGTCCTGGTACGTTAGGGTTCAAGTTTTGGTATTATACTTTCATTTGAAATCTTTAGCTTAATCTGGAGATAGGTATCATGTTGACCAACTTTGAATTGTGTTGGGTCAAATAAAAATAACACAGAACAACTTTCCCCAATGCTGAGCAGTATGAGGAGTGTGTTTTACTTTCAATATGTAGTATTTTATTTTTGAAAATAATATTTCATTAGATTAATGTAGTCATGCAGAGAAATGATTTCTACATAAAATTGCTCCCCTGAAAGTTTGTACATGGTGAATAATTTTTCATGAAAATTGTTTCATTCAGTAAAGACATAAACTTGAAAGGGTACATTTGTTCCAGGGAGAATACCTATTTTTTTAATGTTCGTATATTTTTCCCTTTGGATCATATTCATACTTCAAAATGTCAACCATTGGAAAAAAATATTTTCTATGTTGTAATTAGGGAATAGTTATATTTTTTTCTATAGTACCTTGAATTTGTAATCTGTTGTCTTACTATGTTTTAATCTCTCATGTTAGCAAATAAATATTGCTTTTAATTCCTTATTTGCTCTTGATGTTTTTCAAAAATCACTCATAAATAATCACTAAGCATGCTTATTTTAAAAATACAGTGATCCATTTAGAATTTCCATAAATAACCAAATAGACTCAGGTTCCAAGTAAATAATACTCATTAAGTGGATGGCTTTGTATAAAATAATGAAGACAGGACTATAAAAGGGCTGTTATTTTCATATATTGTGCTCAACGCCATAATGGAATGGTTGTCATAAAAACCAGAAGTGTATGTTTTATTCTAACACCATTTCAATGTTTATAGTTAGAAACCTCTTGCCTATGAAAATTGATCTGACAGAGTCAGGTGTGGTGGCGCATAGAGGAGGATCGAAATTTTGAGCCTAATCTGGACAACTCAGTGAGACACTATTTCACAAAAAACAAAACAAAACAATGGCTGGGATATAGCTCAGTGTGATGGCCCTGGGGATAGAACCCAGGACTGTTAGCCTGATTTGGTTCCTGGAAAGAATCAAGTTAAAAGAAATAATGCAAAGCAGCTTGACTTTTAAGAAGTAATAATGAGGTGATAGAATTAAGAAAGTATGACAGGTATTATGCAGAATGTGAGTTCTGAAACTAGAACGGTACTGAAAAAAGCCTTCTATAACTTCTCTCCAGGCTGCATAAATACAGAAATTTGTCTACATACACAAAATTTATAAGAAAAAAGCTGCAACATCAGAAAAATTGGTTAGCTTAGAGAAGGAGTTCCATTCAGAAAAATTAAAGGAAGGTCATCTAGATCTACAGACCTAGATCCTAGATCCAGAGTCCTGTGCAACATGCCTGACAAGGGCTTGTAGAGCAACATGAATAACACAAGTGTATTTTTCTGCCAAGCAAGATAATCAGAGCTTTCATATGATTTCCTGAGTGGCCAGTACTGTAAAAGCTTTAAAATCCTTTGAGTCCTAGAATATAAAAGTATACTTTAGCTGTAAATCTTCAGCAATAGAACCCTTACCATACTATTTATACAGTGCATGTTGTTAAGTAAATACATATTGTTTCAAGGAAGAAAGATATTACAATAAATTCTTTTCAGTTAAGAATACATGTTAAGAAAAACTAGCATGTATATTGTTAGGTAGTTACTCAACCAATGTATTTCCTGAACGAGCTCACTGGAAACAGGCTGATAATACTTTCAGATGTCATTGAAAGAGCTCAATTACTCATGCAGTTGTTATTTCATGATATTTAAAAAGATAGCTAATTCTACTTTTCTTTAAACCCCAGCAATATTGTGTCTAAAAAGTGTGAATTTTAAGACTGACCTAATACACAGCATAAAGTTTCCTTCTGGTTTGTAACTTTCTTTCATGGATGTGCTTTAGTAGCAATATGAGGTAAAGAGATGGAAAGGAATCTTTCTTATTTTGACTGTCTTGGCAACTAATGTGGGCAAATATTTTCCTCCTTTATTTTCATCATAAGGGGATTTACTTAGGTGAGCAAAAGCCAACTATGCTGATAAACATCTAATACATAGGACAGTCCCAAACCAGTGTTATCTAGGCAAAAATGTCACTAATGCCAATTGAGAGGCTGTGGAATACAGTAAGACATTATAAAATGCACCAGATATGTCTCTCAAAAATTAAGATATGAACTACCAGTATTCTAAACTAACATTTAAAATCAAGATAAAACTAAAACCTTGCTTATGAAACACGAGGAAATCTATCTACACATGTTGAATTGGATTTCCTATTTGTGATTCTGTTACAATTTCTTTAAGACTTAGAGGAAAACATTTGGGCTCTATGATATCTTAGAGTATTTTTCTGCCTATCATAAGTGTTGCATTAATTTAATTTCTCAATACTTAATCTTAATAAAAGTGCATGGAGAACTCAATCAACTTTATAGAGCTGCTCTTTTGATATAATGAAATACACAGAACATGTGCTACAACTTTTGGACAATAGTGGACTCAATCTCATACGTGTGTATATTCATTTTTGAAAAAAAGGAAGAAACCCAGCTTGCTGTCCAGCTTATTTACTTCTCTCAGTTATAAATGTTCCAGCTTTGAAAATGGCAGTAGGAGGAGTTGAAAAAAAAATACGGAGGAAAAACGACATTCTGAAGCCATAAATCCAAGACACAACCATGGCAGCTGCGACTGAGAGGCTTCAATCACCTGACACAAATGTGGCGCTAAGCACTGCAGTGAATTCTCATCTAGCATCTGGTAGGCAAGGCTAAGCACTAGCAAGGCCACTGGAGCTGCAGTTTTCCACTCCATAAACATTTATTTGAAAAGGACCACTCCACATCACTAGCCATCCATGAAATGCAAATTAAAGCAACACTGAGATACCATCTCACCCCAGAAAGAATGGCTATCATAAAGAAATCAACAACAAATGGTGGAGAGGCCGTGGGGAAAAAGGAACCCTTCTCCACTGCTGGTGGGAGTGTAGACTGGTGCAACCAGTATGGAAATCAGTGTGGAGACTTCTTAAACAGCTAGGACTGGAAATCCCATTCAAACCAGCTATCCCTACTGGGAATTTTTCCAGAAGAACGGAAAACATCATATCATAGTGATATATGTGCACCTATGTTTATAGCAGTACAATTTGTGATAGCCAAATCTTGGAAGCAACCAAGATGCGTGTCACTTGAGGAATGGATGTAAAAGATGTGGTATTTTTTATAAAATGGAGTATTACTCAGCTATAAAGAATCATAAACTCGAAGACTTCATATATAAGTGGATGCCACATGAAGGTATACTCATAAGTGAAAAGGACTACTCTATTAGGAAGTATTTGTCAAATTAAACAAGATTTTTTTTTTTTTTTTTTTTTCGAGGGAGAGAGCATCTTGTTGTGCTGTCCTGGGTTTCTTCTAGATGTTCCCATGTCAGGCTTCCAAGGTACCTGGGTCTATTGGCAAATGGCACTGTGCCAAATAAACATGATCTATTTTACAGATACAAAGTCAAAAAGTGAGTGAAAACACTAAAGTTGGAACTCTGCTTGAAAATTATTGATTCCTTTATAAGTAATCAAATGATGTATTTTGTTATTATCCATGACAGCCTACTTGAGACCATGATGATGGATATAAAATAATTTTCAGTTATGTATTTTAGTATTACAAAATTGATTATCACACGACACATCTTGAGCAGTGCCTGGCAAGAGTCATCGGCTGTTCACACACGATCACCACTGTGCCTGTCAGAATCACACAGTGACAGTCTACCTGCTTTGGCATTTTCAGCACTTTCTGGCATCCTCATGGCAAAGCCTGTCTCTGCCCCTAACTTGAGCCTCTATAATTTAGGGCTTTTTAAAAATTTACTTTTTTGACCCCTGTCTTTTGAGCAGTGACTTGTTCACAGGAACTCTGTATAATCTTCAATTACCTTCCCATAAAATTTCTATTCAACAGGGACAGTGTGTTCTCTTTTTAATCATTTTTATGCATATTTATGCAGCTCAGACTCATAGGGATCCTCCTGTGTCAGCCTCCCCAGCACTGGGATTACAGGCATGTGCCACCATGCCTAGTTTCAGGGCCGGCACTGCATGTGGTACTGGAGATCAAACTTGTGTCCTTGCACTTGCCAGGCAGGCACTTAGATTGCCGAGCTATCTCCCCAGCCCAACGGTGTGTTCTTGTATTACAATATCGGCTATTTCTTTGCATGCTATACTTACATGTGAAGTATGTGCCAAATAAACATGATCTATTTGTCTAGATTTGTGTGAGCTACTTCTATCCAAATACCTGGGTTATCTGTTTCCTTCCTGACCTAAAGAATAATCTATTCTGTGATTCCAAGGATGTCTCAGCCATGTCATTTTAACCCTCCACCCCTTTTTGGTATCAATACTTGAACTCACAACCTTGTGCTTGCCTGGCAGGCACTGTGCTGCTGAGCTACATGCCCAGCCATTTCAGCTTCTGATGTCAAAACTAAAACTGTATTTCTAAATACTGAAGTATAGGCCATGGTATTCCCCTTGAGGATACCCGGATATTAACTTACTCTTTTAGTCAGCTGAGTATCCATCATGAAATTGTGCACATGCTTTTCTGCTTTGGTAAGTTCTAGCTTTCTTGCCACAACAGCTACCACCAGGGCTGTGCAACCTGCACCCTGAAAACAAGGAAAAAAGAAAAGCCCAGCATGTTACTTTGTCTTTGTCAGATTAGAAAATGTTTTGTACCAAGTATCTTGTTTCTCAATATCAAAAAACTGTGCTCTTCAGTGTAGCCCCTCAGCAATGTGCTTACGAAGTCTAGTTTACCTATTTCAAGCAATGAGGTATGAAACTGAATGTAGCATTTTTATTATAAGGAACAAATAGCAAAAAAAGCAACTTGTTGAATTTCTAGAGATTTCTTTCAAACCACAGCAAATCCCTAATATATTTACAATTATAAATTAGCCTAGATGTATGAAAGATAACTAAATCTTTTTTTCTACAAAGAATTATGCTCAATCTTTAGAGATGAGGTCAGTCAACTGCAGTGTACCAGGAACACAGGGGGTGAACTTCCTTGAGCGACACCCTGCTTCAGACTGTTCATGGGGCATAACAGAATAGGGTCACGGGGACACCGCAGTGCTTTGGACCTGCACAACAGTGCCATGTGCTTGGTTGAGGATAACTACACTCACATTTAGAAGTTAATGAGCAGTAGGAATGGCATAAATTTTTAAGAAACCAACAGCATTCCTTTTTGAAAGACAGGTCATTTAGCTGATGTTTTGGAAAAAGAGTTGCAGCGCTGTGTGGTGACCCTCATATTGTAGTTCTACCTTTCTGTCATCAAAGAGTCAAGGTCTTTGCTGGAAGACCAGTGACTGCACACACGGTCACAAGGTGCTGCCATAGGCACCTCATACCAAGATTACGCTGCTATGAGGTGCTGTGAAAGGGGAGTTGCATCTTCTGGCAGAATCTCAGCTGGGAGAGGAGAGAAGAGCACAGAGAAGGCCAAGGCAGCCTCAGAAGACTGGTCACAGAGAAGAAAAGGCCAGGTCCCAGGCAGGAGCCCGTGGGAGAAAAGCACACCGAATAAGAAGTTAGCATACTATGGATCTTTCAGGAAAGCTGAATCTCTCTCCGACACTTTACAGTGGTATCCCTGCTGTTACTTAGCCAAAGAAACAGCATGCTAATAGGATAAATAGCCCAGTGAGACTCAAATTCCCATGAAATAAGATGGTTTTCATGATTACAAATATATATTTTAAAAATCACTAGATAAAATAGCAACTTAGTATTCCAAATGTAGTGTTCAACAACTAAATATCCAATATGGAAGGTTAGTAATTAAAAATGATGATTGCTATGCTAACTTTATGTCTAAATATTTAAAGATAGACTCACATTAAGATATATAACATATGTCTTTTGATATAACATAAGCTAAGTTAGAAAACTCCATGCAGAATACATTTGCAATTTCACTTCTAAAGACTGACATTGGAGAAAGACAAACAAAACAAACACTAGAAAAAATTACCTGTGAAAACAGGTTATTCCTCAGAATGATGGTGAGAATCTGTGCTCCAGTTTGTTCTTTGTGCTTTCCTGGAGGCTACATCATCTACAATCTATGCATTATTGCTCATATAAATGATTATAAATTTAAAAGTAATAATTTATGCGTTCATATTTAACTTGCGTGTCTTTACACTAACCTTAAATTCAACCTAGGGAAGTGATCTTTCTTCATGAGTCATATTTTTATTATATAATCAATTATACAGTACTTTTATTTTTATTTGAATCTAGTGTGATTTGGCTAGTCAGTGGTGGAATAAACAATGAATTTTCATACCTGTTGTATGAGTATTCCAATACTTCTAGCAGCAGGGAGCTGACTGAGGAGAAAAGAAAACTAATATATACTACCCTGTCCTCCTCCAGCCTAATTCCAATCATGGAGATAGGTGATTAATGATAATAGAAGGTTTAAATGTATTTCCAGTGAATTTGAATATCCCTCTCACCTAGCTGTATGAAAAAGTATCAGTATCCTCAGAATATTAAGTGCTACTAATCATATGATTAGAGAAGGAGGCTAGAAGGTGTTTAGATACTATCTGGTTCAATCTTCTGAATTTACAGATGAGGCAAATAAAGCAGAGTTAAGTGTTTAGTTAGGACCCTTGGTTAGCACTTGTATCATTAACCACCCTGTATCTTATCTTATGATATCTACAGCTACAGGATCACATTTTTTAAATTTGTGGTCATTTCCACATCCATGGTGCACTGTGAGACACCGTATTTTAAAACAAGAAATTCAAGTTCACCTTATGTCTTGTGATTGGCTCTTATCTATAAATATTTAAACATTGAGCAATATGGTTAATTATCAAAATAAATCAACACTTTTTTAAATACAAGGTGCAACTTTTAAATCAGTAGTTCTGAATCTTGACTAGAAATTAGAATCACTTGGTAATATATAAGAATCCCAATGCTGTGTGCCCAACCTAGTAAATCCTAATCTCTGAGATAAAATCCAGATATTTACTTGTTTTTCTTTTCTTTTCTTTCCTTTCCTTTCTTTTGTTTTCTTTTCTCTTGTTTTGTCCTGTTTTCTTTTTATTTTGTTTTTCTTTTATTTATCTGTTTGAGACAGGGTCTCACTATGCAGTTCAGGCTAGCCTTGAGCTCACTTTGTGGCCCAGGCTGGTCTCGAACTTGCAACAATCCACCTGCCTCAGCCTCTGGAGTACCAGGATTACAGGCAGGTACCACCACACTTGCCAATATTTTTGTTTTTAAAAGCTGTCAAGTTGATTCCAATATAGGGTAACTGCTTTAGATAGAAATGATAAACTCACAAACCTTTTAATACTAAAAGGAGTAAAAAGCTTTCTTATCAGGATTATTTCATGTATGAAGACATTTAAAAAGTGAAAATAAAGGCAGGAGTTGTGATCCTTCATGCCCTTTGCAAACAATAAAAACAAAGTGACTTTAGAACCTGATTCCATGAACGAGGGAGAAGAGTGGCCTTCGAAAGCCTCTACACTCATGTTATGGACCTTCATGCATTCACCATAGCATCCAAATTCTTAGGGCAGATGAATGGGGCAGACTGAATCAGTGACCACCACACTCAAGAGCCTCCTGCCCTTGCCCACTGTACATTAGGGCTTGTGCTTCCCAGATCCAAGACTGCCTGTTGCACAAACACTCCAAATGACCCTTCAGGCAGTGGATTCTGGGAGATTCGAGGCAGGAAGGTTTCTGCAATAAAGACAGAGTTTAAAAATTGGAGGGGCTCCTAGCTGCTAGATAGACCACTACAGGAAGGCAGGTGGCCCCTGTTGAGATCCTTCTGGAAGGAAATCAAACACTTAACAAGAGTGGAAAATCACGGATGTCAAGAGCTTTTGGAAGTAGATTTTTATTTTTGTTTATTCTTGGGCTCCGTTCTCTCTTGCTGCTGGCCCATTTCTTGCTGAGTGTTCTCTCAGCCACACCAAAAGATCTGTGTATTAAAATGAGTACCACTGGTGCAAACTAGAGAAACAAGTGACTCCAACAATTTAGTAACTACTGAAACTATAAACTATATAGGACTTCCTTATTGTTTTCTTTATTAGAGAGAGAGAGAGAGAGAGAGAGAGAGAATAATAAAAATGATACAGAATTTCAAAACCAGATGGTAGGAAATTAACAAAGGTTATTATTATAGTGCATATTGTTATGCTTAAAGTAGTTGCTCCTTAACTGTACCTATCCCTTTAAAATACATCCTCAGAGACACTTAGAAACCTTTATGTTTAAATACAAAGAACTTCAATCCTTATCTTTAAGTCTTAGTTTAATTAAGGTCCAATAACATACCTCTCCAAGTTCTTAATATATCATAAGAGGATTTGATACATATAAGACTTTTCAAAAGAGTAACCTTTTGCCAGGAGGATGTTAAATTCAAACATAGCCTGAGAAATTTAGTGAGTTGGCAAGAACCTGTTTCAAAACAACAAAAAAAAATCACAAAAAAGGATTGGCAGTGCTGCCTACTGTGAAGTTCCTGGGCTCCTGGTATCACACACACACACACACACACACACACACACAGAAGAAGAAGAAGAAGAAGAAGGAGAAGGAGAAGGAGAAGGAGAAGGAGAAGGAGAAGGAGAAGGAGAAGGAGAAGGAGAAGAAGAAGAAGAAGAAGAAGAAGAAGAAGAAGAAGAAGAAGAAGAAGAAGAAGAAGAAGCAGAAACAGAAAAAGTAATCTTTATTATTTAATTTTTAGTTATGCAGAATGAAACTGGCTCAATTCCTAAAGCTTCCCAGGCTCAACTTAAATTCCTGCCAACACATTGGTGGTTGTAGTAACTTAAGCAGTGGCCTAGTGTCACTGTCCACTGTCTATTTCCAAGCCTGTTCAGTTTCATGTGAATAGAGATGAAAATAAGTATGCTTTTACAACATTTTTTTCCAAGGCTTGTCCTCACCACGATCCATGTAGAAACAGTTGGGACTAACATATGTTACTCCCTGGAATTAAGATCCCCTGTATGCCTTTAATAAGATGACTCATATTCCTTTCACCAAAGTTAGAAAATGCATCCTGGCTTCTTCTCTCCCATTTCATTTGTGTCCTCAGGGGAAACGAAAGCAAGTCACTAACCTTACCTCAAGATGCTTAGGGGCCTACAAACCAGGATAAGAAAGGTGTGTTTATGAGGCCAAAAGCAAAGATTAGGGTCTTCCATTGCTAGTTTATCATCTTTCCTTCTCATACAGTATATGTTAAAAGAAAGGGAAAAAAAAGAGAAGGAGAAGGGTGGAGGGAGTTGTACACCTTACCTTAGCAGAGCTAAGTAACAACCCCCCTTGCTGGCACTCCTTACCACAGAGGAGTCAAACTGAGTGAATGACAGCCAGGCAGTATGACATTTCGCTCAGTCTTAACCCCTGGGCCATCTCAGACATTGCAAAATTAAAACACATGTTTCTCTACATGTAATCTGCATTACAGAAGAGAAATAATGAAACATCTTGATGACCAGAATGTGGGAGTCCAGGAGCCTATTTTTCACACTGTTATATCACCTAATGTTTGAAAAATTCCAGAGTGACACTTTTATCTTAATTCACCGAAGTATGTGGATCC